TGCTGGGAAAACTGCACAGGTACATATAAAAGAATGAAATTAGAACACTCCCTAACACCATACACTAAAATAAACTCTAAATGGATCAAAGACCTAAATGTAAGGCCAGACACTATCAAACTCTTAGAGGGAAACATAGGCAGAACACTCTATGACATTAATCACAGCAAGATCCTTTTTGACCCACCTCCTAGAGAAATGGAAATAAAATAAACAAATGGGACCTAATGAAACTTCAAAGCTTTTGCACAGCAAAGAAAACCATAAATAAGACAAAAAGACAACCCTCAGAATGGGAGAAAATAGTTGCAAACACAGCAACTGACAAAGGATTAATCTGGAAAACATACAAGCAACTCATGCAGCTCAATATCAAAAAAACCCAATTCAAAAATGGGCAGAAGACCTAAACAGACATTTCTCCAAAGAAGATATACAGATTGGCAACAAACACATGAAAGAATGCTCAACATCATTAATCATTAGAGAAATAAAAATCAAAACTACAATGAGATATCATCTCACACTGGTCTGAATGGCCATCATCAAAAACTCTACAAACAAAAAATGCTGGAGAGGCTGTGGACAAAAGGGAACACTCTTGCACAGCTGGTGGGAATGTAAATTGATACAGCCACTACGGAGAACAATGTGGAGGTTCCTTAAAAAACTAAAAATAGAACTACTATATGACCCAGCAATCCCGCTACTGGGCATGTACCCTGAGAAAACCATAATTCAAAAAGAGTCATGTACCAAAATGTTCACTGCAGCTCTATTTACAATAGCCAGGACATGGAAGCTACCTAAGTGTCCATCAACAGATGAATGGATAAAGAAGATGTGGCACATATATACAGTGGAATATTAGCCATAAAAAGAAACGTAATTGAGTTATTTGTAGTGAGGTGGATGGACCAAGAGTCTGTCATACAGAGTGAAGTAAGTCAGAAAGAGAAAAACAAATACCGTATGCTAACACATATATATGGAATCTAAAAAAAAAAAAAAAGGTCATGAAGTACCTAGGGGTAAGATGGGAATAAAGACACAGACCTACTAGAGCATGGACTTCAGGATATCGGAAGGGGGAAGGGTTAGCAGTGACAAAGTGAGAGAGTGGCATGGACATATATAAAATACCAAGCGTAAAATAGACTGCTAGTGTGAAGCAGCCGCATAGCACAGGGAGATCAGCTTGGTGCTTTGTGACCACCTAGAAGGGTGGGATAGGGAAGGTGGGAGGGAGGGAGACGCAAGAGGGAAGAGATATGGGAACATATGTATATGTATAACTGATTCACTTTATTATAAAGCAGAAACTAACACACCATTGTAAAGCAATTATACTCCAATAAAGATGCTAAAAAAAAAAAACCAATTTCATTTTACATTTTCTCTATTTACTAAGTAAATAAATTTTATCTTATTTATTTGGCATTTTTCACTATCTTTTCTAATGAAATCTTTTTTCAAACTCATCAACAATGTCTCAATGCAGCTTGTAGGGGGAAAAAGTGATCGACTACATCTAGTACAGGACAATCAGAAGAATGTTAGGATTCCCTAGCAACCAGGAATGGTGTTAGGAAGGTGCCAGATCCAGCTGCATATTTGAGTAAATGCCTGCATGGGTAGGAGAGGCAAGGGTGTGGAGCCTCTTTCTTCCAAAAGATTGAGGAAAGCTGTGGTTTTAGGCTTCTTACTTCCTATGTTTGGTATGCATAGGTTAATGGATATAGAATATATATTCCATTGGACCAAGAACTTTTATTTTGTTCAGTGCTGTATCTATGATAGTCCTTGACATAAAGAAGAAAGTTAATAATACTTCTTGAATTAAGGAATGAATAAATGCAAAGAGATGTTCATAAAGCTTCTATTAGCAATAGTAATGAGAAGTTGTATTTTGATTTTTTGTTTTGTTTTGTTTTTCCGGTACGCGGGCCTCTCACTGTTGTGGCCTCTCCAGCTGCGGAGCACAGGCTCCGGACGCACAGGCTCAGCGTCCATGGCTGACGGGCCCAGCCGCTCCCCGGCATGTGGGATCCTCCCGGACCGGGGCACGAACCCGTGTCCCCTGCATCTGCAGGCGGACTCTCAACCACTGCGCCACCAGGGAAGCCCTGTTTTGTTTTTGAGTTACCTAATGATTAATGAAACATCCATCAAAATGTTTATATGCTTTAAAAAACATATCTTTAAAGATATTCAGAAAAAAGAGAAGCAAAATAAAACAATTAGCATATGAACTTCTCACACGTGAATTTAGAATGGAAAAGAAATTGTTTCTTTTCTTGTTCCATAATGGGGCACGAATCATCAACATTTACATTATAAAGACCTCTAACCTACCAAGAAAACATTGCTTATTTTTCCTATCTAAGTTACTCTATTTTTTCCATATTACTATCAAGTTGATTGTCAGTATGTTTCTAAGACACCTTGGTTGTAATATTTTACACAATAATTTATGTATCAGATGTATTCCTCTTAGGAGTACTGTAATATCTTTGTGCAAAATGTGAAGCTCAGAATAAATCAATAATATGGAAAGCTATATGAAAGGTATTTACACCAAAGTTCCCTACTATAAGAGAATTTATATAGTTTGCATATTAACTGACTACAAGTATAATATGATAAATTAAATTTAACTTTGTAGGATACGTGATTTGATACCTAATCCTTTAAAGCAAATTGTAATACTTAATGCCTGAAATCTTTAAATTCCCTTTCTAAATGAGTGTCACATAATAATATGAGACAAAGAAGAGGTGAAATGAGTAGCTCTCAACTAAGTTTCTTCAAAATATAATTTGCAAAATATATTTGCAAAGTTGTTACATAAACTTTTAAACTCATTCATTGCTAGTGTTCAAAGTAATACACAATAAACACGTTTTCAGCAAAGGAAATATGTGGAGTTAGAGCCAAAAAAAATTTAAATATCAAATGCTGTGCTTTTCAGAAAAACACAACAATATAAGTACTTTCAAAACATTTAGATGCTGTCAGAGTCAAGTAAGTCAGAAACAGAAAAATAAACATCGCATATTAATGCATATTTGTGGACTCCAGAAAAATGGTTCAGATGAATTGGTTTGCAAGGCAGAAATGAGACACAGATGTAGAGAACAAACGTATGGACACCAAGGAGAGGAAGAGGGGGCGTGGGATGAATTGGGAGATTGGGATTGACATATATGCACTAATATGTATAAAGTGGATGGCTAATGAGGGCCTGCTGTATAGCACAGGGAACTCCACTTTGCTATACAGTAGAAACTAACGCAACACTGTAAAACAACTATACCCCAATTAAAAAATAAAAAACATTTAACTTAGAATTCATAAATATAAATGAGTAAAATATAAATTCATCCAAGAATATATCACTTAATATGCCAGGAGAATTATGTAAATTCCAGTATTTTAATTCTTCCAAACCTTAGTCTTAAGGAAAAGAAGAAGATGGTCCAAAATAGTTCCTATACTTTTCCCCAACTCAACAACTGTAAAGCTGGTTTGTATTAGTAGAACTAAAAATTCACAACATTATGAAAAAAGAGCCAAAAATCACAGCTGTAAAAACCAGCCATTTTTTAATAACCTTCTCAACAATGGCACAAGTTTCTATATTAGTGTGGTCACAAAAATGACCTTTCATGTCCCAAGACATATCTACCAATTATTTTAATACCTACCAAATATTTTAATACCTTGGAATTTTAAAAAAAGTGCTTTTCACTTAAATTCTGGATCTACTTCTTTTTCTACTTTTATCCAAATGACTTGTTACAGGAAGCTTTTTGACATTAAATTATCAGCTAATTAAAATGAAATCAACTTCTATCATGTCTAGGAATGAAGCTGAATCAATAAAATTGTCTATATTCCACATATGGTAGAAGGATTTTTTAAACATTTATTGTAATAATTAACTATAAAAAAATAAACTAAATGCCTATTTATACAGGTATAGTTAAACCAATTATGGGGTGTGCGTGTTTGTATATATACATATATGTATATATGTGTGTATGTATATGCATACATACGTCTGTATATATGCATATACGTGTGTGTATATATATGTATACGTGTGTGTGTATATATATGTATACACACATATATATACATATATATATACACACTGTGGAATACTATAGAACAATGACAAAAATAGAATAAGTTTATATATACTGACATGAAAATATATACTGACAAGTAAATATAGCAAGAAACAAAACAACAGATTGAGTAGAACAACATTTTTCTAAAAGGAAATCAAAATTTTACAGCATGAGTATACGTGTGTGTAAATATAAAGAAAAACCTCTAGAAGGATGCACATCACACCATTCTCACTGGTTACTTCTGAGAATTTTTTGAATTTGATTTCAACAAGAATGTATTCCTTAATTACTTGATGGAAAAAAATGATCTAACGTGAAATTTAGGGGGGGAAAAATTTTGTTATTAAACTCTCAATTTACTTTAAATGATTAAGCTTATGCAGGCTTAGCTTATCCAGAATAATACTGCATATATCACTGATACTGACATTTATTATAATTTTTATTATTACTTAAATGTACCCAAATCTATTTAATTTGTTTAAGAAAAAAAGCTATGACAATAATTTTCAGATTTATATCACACTTTTTTTTTCTATAAAAGGTGGAACCAGAGTAAAGACCAAACAAGCTAATAATCTAGCAATTAATTCTACAGTATTTTGTTTTCAAACTTCAATCCTGTGTTCTCAAACATTCTGTAAGTTCTCAAATGCAGAGCAACATCTAGCATTACCTTTGTAATCTACTAAGTATGCTTTCAATGAACACTTATTAATCAGTTGAAAGGAATTCTATACCGAAATAAGACTACACTATAATTCTATAATTTGTGTAGCATATGTCTATGCGTGTAACTTTTTTTTACTAAAGTTTGCCAAAGTTTAACAGAATAAAGAAAACAGACTCTCAAACCGCTACCTTATATTCATCCACAATAATGCTGAGGGCTTCATGACCAGCTTTCCTCATGTCTTCCAATTCTTGTTTATGTTTTTCCTGAAAGAAAGCAAGAAACTACGCCATGATTTGTTCTTTTGACAAAATAACAACACACCATTGACTTTTGCATCTGTAAGTGATTGAGTAGCTTGTGGCACACAGCTGCAAACAAACAGAAAAACTATTAAAAAAAAAAAAGTTCTGTTTAAAAGCACTCTGGAGGGCTGGGGCAATGAGAAATTAAAGGGAAACAATAACTGAGAAAGGAAAACCATGCTGAGAGGTAAAGTAACACATGGCAATGGTGTTATCCCTTGGGGCATTTGGCAATTCTGGACCTGGATCTAGAGACAGGAGGTCCTGTGTTACTTCAACAAGCCAGAACCTTTTTTTTTTTTCCATTACTTCTCTAGTAACATATACATGCCAATAGTTTAATACACAATAAAGTTTGAGAACCACTGGATTAAGGTAATCAACCCCCCATTCTACCTTCCTAGGAAAGCAGAGGCTTACCTCTTTGGAGAATGTTAACATCCTACACAGAGCCTTTCCAATTTTTCAAACACAATGTACAGCTTTCAATGCAAAATTATCAGAGATGGTAACAGATGAGACCAAAGAAACAGAAAACAGAAAAGACAAAAGAAACAGACCCATGTGTGATTCAGAAATTACTTATCAAAGAGTTTAAAATATGTATGAATAATACATTCAAGAAAATAGAGAAGAAATGGAGAAAACAGATAGGATAGAGATTTTCTTCAGAGAACCGGGATTCGTAAAACAGAAATTCTACAGTGAGAAAAAATGTATTATTAACAATACAATAGATGAGGTAAATAGTCGGTGAAACAGCAGAAAGCAGGATCAGAGAACCAAAAGACAGTGGGGGAAAAAAAAGAAACTACAGCAGAAAGAGAAATAAGTGATGGAAAATACAAAAAAAAAACTTTAAAAAGACATGGGACAGAGTAAAAAGATCAAATATACATGTAACAGAAGAATTGTTAACAAATAATCCAAAGAAAGAAGAAAAAAATTAAATGTAGCAAGATGGCAACAATAGAGTGATGAAGAAAAATAGAAAACAAAAATTTCTAACATTATGCATGAATTCAGGGTATTACAAAACCTACATATATTTCTAATAAGCAGTAAGATATTATTAAATATTAGAGCAATAAATATGAAATTTTAGATGAAATGAAAAAACTCCTATGAAAAAACACAACTTAACAAAACTGAAAGAAGATGAAATAAAAACTCTGAAGAGTCCTATATGTGTTTAAAAAAAACTGAACCTGTATTAATTTAAAAACCAAACAAAATAAAACTTCCGACCAAGAAAACCATAAGCCCAGATGATTTAACAGGTTGATTTTAATAAACATTTAGGCAACAAGTAACAGAAACCTTACACAAAATCTTCCAGAGAATAAAAAAAGAGGGAATACTTCCCTACATATTTTATTAAGACAGCATATCCCTTATACTAAAATCTGTAAAGATAAAATTATGAACCAATCTCTTTTATGAAAACAGAAGCTAAAATTCCACATAAAATATTAGCAGACGGAATCTAGCAATACATTAATAAGATAACACATCTCAACCAAGTGGGATTTATTTTAGGAATGTCAGGTAGGTAGAAGTGATGTACACCATTTCAAGCTTGAACCACAAAACCTCCAACACAATCCTCCACACATTCCCATTTTCCCCCTATTTGCTTGCTGATGTCAATGCCTAAGATGACAATTAAAGTCATGTGCTGTGAAGAGCAGCAGGGCCTCTATCAGCCTGGGACCCTGAATGACTGCACCATCACCCCAGTGGACTTGGAGAGAAAATTAACTATATTTAGGGAAAAGATAACACCCCTTACTGCCACCCCTTTCTCATTTATAAGCTCCCCTCATTTACTATGCCTTACTTATTCACAAGTTCTATTTCATTATCAAATTCTAATTGCCATTTCCAGTATATCACTTTATGTATCTTTCTGTAGCTAAGTCATTCTTTCCCAAAACAGCCTGAACATAAAGGACCAACAAGGGCACTTATTATAAACACTGATTTTTGTTGGTATGATTATCAATCTATGGCTCACGGCAGCAATCCTTTTAAAGTCATTTTCCCATTTCTGTCAGAGTTGTTTCAGTAAAAACTAAATAACATAGCAGCTAAATCCAATTACCTGGTAAAGCAAGCTCATACGTTCTATTATACTAAAAAGCAAACACATGTAGGCAGCACTACCAACTCATCACTTTGGAACTCCCATTCAGGTCAGGTTATCTCACTAATGGTATGTGACTGTCTCATAAAATGACCTAGGAGGGCAAAAGCATCAATTTCTATGCTGAATATTAACATAGTTTTTGTTTTTCTTAGTTTTTAAGATTAAAAAAAAAGTAAATAGAAACATTTTTCTGACACTTTCTTTTCACATCATAGTGGAACATCTTAGGCAGTTCTTGGGATGCATATATTATACCTTAAGACCAATGATTTATGACAAAGTCATATAAAACAGGTTACATGGTCAAACAAATTGTGGAAATTAACAATATATATTAAAATATTAGACGTCCTACAAACCCACAAGTAAAGAAATTTGTTGAACTTTACTAAAACCAGCATTTTTCAGACTTAACTAATTAAATATTAATTTACTTTTTTTCTCTCTCTTGACAATACCTAATACCAACTAATCAGTTCAGAATTGAAACTGAGAACCAAAAAGGTCAAGAAAGCTTTCTAGAGTTAATCAGTCTAAAGCAAAGCAAATTAACCTAGATCCACTAAGTGAAACTGAGAATATAATCTATTTTTACCTCAGTAATTAGAAAGTGAAGATGAATATGCACCATTTCAATTATAAAGTTTGATCATTCAACAACTATGTTCTGAATAATTAACCATTAAAAAGTATTAGTGTGCCATTTAAGGCACACATAGAGTACATTATATTAAGCAATTCATATAAAAGGTTTTTTCTAATAGACATTTTATAAATGATCAAAATGTCCTATGACATTATATTTTATTATAATTGAAAATAAACACTTAGTCAACAGCTGTATCTTCTCACATAGAAGGAACAGCAATCCAGTGCTTTGCATAGTGCCTTAGAACACAGCAGCTGTTCACAAATGTTTGTTGGATTACGCTGAAATTCTCATTATTGACATAATGGATTTCTATAATCATTTTAGATATCAGAACTAAAATTTTGAAATTATATTCAATGTGTACTTCATAAGAAATTTTTACATAATGTAGAGATGCTCAGTGATATTCATCATCGTTCAAGATAGAAAATGTAGACTGAGAGTATCATGAAATTTACAGTTACCGATCACCTAAAATTTTCCCAGATGCCGTTAGTTTATACCAAATTTTCTTTGTAAGCATTATATTTAATTTAAACAATAACTATGTGCCTGACTCTGCTAGCCTCTGGGGACAAAAAAGATGATGAAAATATAATAGTTATCTTCAGCCTAGTAATACAGAAGATTGACTAACCTGTATACAGTAACTTGAAAGTGATAATGAGTACGAAAGGATTTTGTTAATGAAGACAAAAATAAGATATTATTACTGCTGCTACTAGGATCACATTTGCTACTGCTACTTTTCAATAATGAACAAAACCCCTAGACCAAAGATCAGCGAAACCATAGAAGGCTAAATAACACATAAACAAACTAGAAGAAACAAAAAACTATAGACTACTCTACCCAACAACAACAGAATACACATTATTCTCAAGTGGAAATGGAACAATCTCCAGGATAGACTATATGGTAGGCCACAAAACAAGTCTTAATAAATTTTTAAATACTGAAGTCAAAGTATGCTCTTTGACCACAAGGGAATAAAATTTGAAATAATTAATAGTGAGAAACTTGAGAAAATTCACAAATGTGTAGAAATTAACACATTCCTAAATAACCAATGAGTCAAAGAAGAAATCACAAGGAAAATTAAAAATCTATATATAAAAAAGAAGAATTTCAAATCAATAACCTAACCTTTCACCTTAAAGAACTAGAAAAAGAAGAGCAAACTAAACCCAAAGCAAGCATAATGAAGGAAATAAAAAGATTAGAAAGAAAATAAATAAAAGAATAGAAAAAAATAGAGAAAATCAACTGGACCAAAGTTGGTTCTTTAAAAAAAGTCAACAATATTGACAAATCTTGATTGACCAAGAAAAAAAAAAAAAGAGACGACTCAAATTATTAAAATCAGGAATGAAGGAAAGGCCTTACTACTGAATTTAAAGAAACAAAAAGGAGCATATGAAAATATTATGAATAACTGTATGCCAATAAATTAGATAACAAGGTTGTAATGAACAAATTCCTAGAAATATGTAAACTATCAAAATTGACTCAAGAAGAAATAGAAAACCAAACAGACTTATAACAAGAGAATAAATCAGTAATCAAAAAACTTCACACAAAGAAAATCCCTTCTTTCAGATGACTTCAGTGGCGAATTCTAACAAATGTTTATTAAAAGGATTAACATCAATATTTTTCATATTTTTCCCCAAAATAGATGAGGAAATATGTTCTAACTCATTCTATGAGGCCAGTATTACACTAATCCAAAGCCACACAAAGACAACACAAAAAAAGACAAAGTGATGTGTCTTATGAATATGGATGAAAAATTCCTCAAAAAAATAGCAGCAAGCAGAATCCAACAGCATATTAAAAAGACTACACCTAGGATCAAGTGTAATTTATCTCAGGAATGCAAAGGTGGTCCAACATACAAAAAGCAATCCATTTAATACACCACATTTAAACAATGAAGGAAATAAAACCCCACATGATCATCTCAGTATGCAGAAAAAGAGTGACAAGATCAAGCATATTTTCACTATAAAAATACTCAACAAACTAGGAATAAAATACAGTATCCTCAACCTGATAAAGGGCATTTGTGAAAAACCCACAGCTAACATCATAATATTGTCAGACTAAAAACTTTCCCCTAACATCAGGAACAAGACAAGGCTGTACACTCTTGCCACC